AAAAAAAAAAAAAAAGGGTTTTATGAGATATGATTGTAAAAATGAACTTTGCCAGCTAACAATGTGAACCAGAAAAGAATGCTCCACCTGTGATCAATATTCCCTTTCATTCATTAGTCCTTTGTACTCCAAAGGCATGAAAAGAATTAATGGTAGGAGGGAGTGAATGGATTGCCAGGTCAAGCCTCCTTTTCCCCTGTTCTTCATCCAACAGCCCTGTACTTTTACCTCAAAAGTAAAAATTAAACAGGTATACACATGCTCATTTTTAATTATCAACTATCAAATATTATTTATTAATTATTAATTATATTTAAAATGTTAATTTAAACACTCTATTTATTGAACTCGAGATTCCTCTAACCTCCAATATAATTAATATCACACTTCTCTAAGTTTATTGGTTATTTTGCTCATCGTCAAGGTTATTTTTTTATTTTTTTATTTTTAACATCAAAGAAGTTAGTTATTTGAAAGTACATATATTTATATTCTTAAAAATACATATAATAAAAAAATTTATTTTAATATAATATTATTATAATTAATATTATTTTATATAAATTTATTTTATTATATTTAGTTTTTAAATTTTTGTTTTTTTGATAAGGGCAATGGTATATTTAGTTTTTAAATTGAACAACTAATAGAAGACTGCCTTTTCAATAGATATATTTAAATGAAATTTACTTAAAATGCACACCGATTTTTTTTATGAGTAATGATAAGAGAGACAACAAGTGAAAATTACAAGATATAAAATTATTATTTCACTTTATTTCATTTGTTTTCTTTCAATTTCATCTCTTTATCATTATTCTTTTTTTATTCAAGCCAAATAAAAAAAATTTGAATATACTGTAGTTGATTTGACGGCTCAAAGCCATCCTCGGAATAGCAAAGTTTGGGTGTGGCAGCTCACCATTTCTGCAAGATGGTACCTTTTCTCTGGTCATCGGGTTGGCTTCTCATCTTATTTATCCCTCCGAAGACGTGTCAAAAGTTTGAACCTTTCATTTTCCTTAAGGATGGCAATTTTTTTCGTTACCCGTGAAATTTCACGGAAATCCCCGTCATAAGCATGAAAATTTTTAAAATATTTTTTTTTTTGAGGTAGGGATAGAGGTAATTTTTACTTATGAAATTTTGTGAGAAAATTTTTTTTTCTCGATTTTTAATTTGTCCATCTTGTTAGTCATTATTTTATTTATTTATTTTTTACCTTAATTACATATTAAAAAATAATTTTTTTTATTTTTTATTATATTTTTTATTTTATTCTACTCATATGTTATTTAATTTAAATTTAATATTTTTTACTTTTCAACGCAAGAAATATCAATTAAGTTATTTAAATTCGTTAGAAACCGCACACCATTATTAAAGCCCAACAAAACAACCCACTAATTTATGCATGGTTCGTGGTCGCCTTGAACAGTTTTTTTTAATATATATATATATAATTTTTAAACTATCAGAATATATTTATATTAATTTAGGTGCATCTTAAAACTAATTTTTTTAATTTGATTAAAAATATATCATTTATGTTAAAATCAAAAATTTTATAAAAAAATATTATTTTATTAATTAAAAAAATCAAAATTTAATTAATAAAATAACAAAATAGACTCTTCACCAAATAAATCAAGACGCCTCCATCCTTAAAAAGTTAGAATTGCCAAGAAAGCAGAGGATGGTCAAACGTGCTTTCATTCCTCTCATTAATAGGCCTCCGAGAATGGCATCCATGTCATCATGGTTGGTCCACGTGGGATCCATCCTCCGGTGCGTCTCTTTCTATGCTGTTTGGCTCGTAGAAGTGATTTTGCTTCAGCTGCCTCCCTACTCTGCTTCATTATTTCCCCATATTTCTCACGAAAAAAATAATAATAATGTTTCATAGGTAAAATGATAATGTTTCTCAAGTAAGGAAAATGATAATGAGGATGATGAATATGAAGTAAATTTTAAATAATAATGTTTCTTTATATAAATTATTATATAAAGAAATTTTTCTAAAATTTTTCTAAAATTTTGTTAATTTGGGGTATTTGTTTTTATTTCAAGAAGTTATTTCTTCAACTTGAAATTATTGATCAAGTTTAGCTTAAGTTGCTGCTGTAGAGTTTGCTTTACTAGATTAGATGGATATGTGCACATGTGCCACTTCCTAAACTCTTTTATGTGCTTTTTCTTAATGAACTGATTGCTGAACATGTTGGCAACAGTTTATTTATTTTTTTTTTTTATCAAATTTGCTGAATCTAGACATATATGATAGTTGCAATTTATACTTTTATTTTTTATAAACCTTTTGTTGGATTTGCTAGATTTATATAGTAGTTTATGCCTTTTTTTTTTATGAAATATGAACTTGTTACTGGCTTGTTTGCTGGACTTGTTTGACAATAACATGTATATATTGGCTATGTTATTGTGTATATTTACTACTTGTTTATCTCATTTTAAAAAAGGGATCTTGATCATCTCTGTTTGTTATCTAGGATTTTATAAAATTGCTATTTTCTTTTGCAATTTTGATTAATAAGCGGTAAAATAGGTGATAGTTTTATTTGACGAGGACTCCAAATACTCGCGAGGACTTTGAATACTCGCGAGGACTTTGAATACTCGCGAGGACCTATTATTCCTCGTGAAAATGGGGACGAAGATAATTTTTGACTCTCTACCAAAAGTCCCCACGAGGATCCTCATACCCATCATTAACGGGAATGGGGATGGGGAGGGGGCTCTCGCCCCCGTAGAGATCCGTTGCCATCCCTAATTTCCCCTACTTGAAAGGAAATAAATAAATAAAATAAAATAATCTTTAAGTTTGGACCATACATTCTAATGAGAAACCCATTTTATTATTTGTATTATATTAAATTATAAAAATAATTATTAAAAAAATTTT